CCTGCCATTGGCAGCCCTCAACCAGATCTGGGGCGAAGGTCGGCAACCCTCGCCCACGACGAGATCTGGACAAGGGTCAATGACCCTTGCTAACTGGCCGGCCCATCCCCCACCATAGCCGGACCTTTCCAGCGACGGTGGGGTGGTGGCAGCGAGGGCCTCCGTTTTGCCTTCTTCCTTTTTTTATTTAGCATATTTTCTATTTAACTTAAATAAGATTTGTATTAAAATATAAATTTGGATCAAAATGACATCAATTTAGTCTTATGTTTCATGTTTTAGCCAAATCATCATCACGTAAAAGAGAGAAAATATTTTAAAAGGTCGCATCAGAATTTTCCGTTATCTAAATTGGACGGAGTTAATTGAAGGACCCAGCTACACCAATTTGATAAGTTTTAGGGTTTGATTACACTTTTTATAAGTTTTAGAACTTAATTGTACTTTTGTAACAAATTTTAGGAATTATAGTGCACTTATCACAATATTTTTTAAGCCGGCGATGACATGGTTCCCCTATCACATTAGCCTTCTAGGAAAGCTATTTTGTATATTGGTGGTATAGCTGATGTGATGTAATAAAAGTGGATGGTTACTCACTAAGTGAGGCTTATGTATATCAAAGGCAATCGTGGAAAAATAAAAAGTAAAACAAACAGCACTTTTGGCTTAATATCTAGACGGGAATCAGCCACAAAAAGTCTACACATTTACCCATAACTTTTTTTATATAAAAAATCCCGAACTATACCCATTGTGACACATTTATCTTGAACTTTTTCTTGTGACATAAAAAAATCTCAAACTTGTATATATGTGACACATTTAACCTCTATTAAGATTCCGTCAGATGATTTTTTCAGTCAAAACAACGTTGTTTAAATTTAACTAAGCCACATGAGTATCACATCAACAATGTTAATACGCAGATTTTTAATGGTTCTCATTAACGGAACTTTGACAGAGGATAAATGTATTGTGTCATAGAAAAAAGTTTATAGTAGATGCACAATTTGAGGTTTTTGGTGACTTTTGCTAGGGGGAGCATGGTCCGGGTGGGCGGTTCCCACCCTGAAACCAAGAACCGCCCACTAAGGACTCGAAAACCACTCGTTGATTCTATGGACCCACCCGGGAATCGGACTGCCAATCCGGTTCCCGGGTGGGTCCATGAAACCGCTCCCACCAAGCTTCTCTAAACAAATTAGAAAATTGGTCTATCCAAGTCGCATGGCTCATGGAAGAAAGCGTCTTGATGGGTTGTGTTGGAGTTAAGTGAGAGGTAAAGAGGGTTTGAAGGTTGAAAGTATGTTTATGCCAATTGTTTGTTGCGATTGTGATGTTTCTTGCAACTCCAAGGAGAGGACAAGGGCTGGATAAGGGGAATGGCAAGAGAGTGGTGGGGGATTTGCTCTGAAGTTGCTGGAACATAAATAACATTGCTAGAGCAAAGAAGAACCAGGATATTACAGGGACGATTGTTTTTCTTCTTCGAGTTTCACTTTCGCTGAAGGTGAACTGAATTTAAATATATATACAAATATATCTCGATCCGGTCCAGGTCAATAGGTGGGCGGTTCCATACCTAAAATCGGAAACTGGATTAGTACTCACTAGTTCCGATAAATTGGAACCGGGAATCGGATCGATCCCCATGGGAATGGGAACCGCCGATTCTGGGCTAGTTCGGTCCGGTTCCAGGCGGTTCTCGATTCTTTTGTACACCGCTAGCTTTTGCCTTATCTAGAAAACTAAACGTTTCATTGTTCTTTCAATAACTGAAATAAATATTTATTCATAATTTAGCAAAAAGATTCGAGAGAAAATTTATTAGGAGGGTTATGCATAGGAAGATAAAGGATGATTACCCAATGGATGAGCATTGATATGTAGGAGGATAGTTCTAGAAAATCAAAGAAATGGCACTTTTGTTTTTTTTTTATTTAGTGATATAGATGAATTGAGTGAGAAAGATCCGTGACTTTTTCCGTTTCCCTTTTATTATTTTCTATTGTTCAAAAGAAAAGGGTAAAAATCCATTGAAAACACCAAACTATACCCATTATGACATATTTATCATCAACTCTTTTTTATAACATCGAGAATCCCAAATTTTGCCATTTATGACACATTTACTACAAACAATTCATTATGACATAAAAAATCCTAAAATTGTACCTATATGACATATTACTTTCCGTCAAGATTTCATCAAATGATTTTTCAGCCAAAATAACGTCGCCTTTATTTCACTTAAGCCACGTGGAAGCTATGTCAATACCCTTTGAATTTTATCGGTCGTCGTTGACTGAACCTTGGCGCAAGGTAACTGCGTCACAAAGAAAAATTTTAGGATAAATGTGTCACGATAAGCGTAGTCTGGGAGGGGCCTTTGTTGGCTTTCTCCTAAAGAGGAAATAAGGTGGACGACATCGCGAGAGGCAGTGGTGTTAGCTCAGCCGGAGACTGGTAGGTGGTGGGGGTGACGCGCACGCGCGTGTGGGGGGGGGGGGGGGGGAGGCGAGTGGGCGGTGCACCGTCACGCCCTTTACGAACAGCGTGTGATCTCACGGCCCGTACGTCACGTCCGCTGCGTCATCATCATCGCCTCCCCTGGTTGCCATCGGAAGCCGCGTAGATCTTTTTTTTTTTGCCCGAAAAATCCACGTCATGGCGGACGGTCCCGCGCTCGTGATTTGACGATAACACCCCTCCGCAACTTTTGGTCGCTAAAGGACAAAGCCAGAGTAGTTTGTCGCGCGGGTTAAGAAAAACCGTGCCCCCGTTCACACAAGGAATTATTCCATTTTTTTTTTATTTTTGGGCCAATCGAATGATTACTTTTTTTTCAAACTTTAATTATGCCCGGATTGGCTAGTTTCCCACGTGCGTCCTCATCCGATGATTGGTCCGGAAATTTTTTCGGGTCTCGAATTTAAGAATATTGGCGATTCTGTTGACATTTAAGCAACGAGAAAAATGCTTTTATTATTTGTGATTCTCATAGTTTTGAATTTCATAATATCGTTAAAAAAGAAAGTTCATGCGCGTATCGACGTGTCGGTATTTGAATCATGTGAAAGTTTCGGGGGTTTCGAATTAAAGAGGGGTCGGAGGGTGCGAGCCGCAAGATCCGGATGAAGTGGAATTAATAAGTGAAATTGGGGTTGCCAAATGGTTTGCCATACTTATTAAATCGTTCGACAGATCAATGAGCTCGAAGTTCGAGTTCACTTGTACTGACATCCATTTAAATTATGTAAGGTCGCCTGGCACGACTAGCATTATTTTTATCGAAATCGCGCTATTTTCAATTTTAAAAAAAAATATTTTAATGAAAAGTACTTTTTTTTTGTCCTAGTAGGTACATGTGGGTTGCTTTCGGATTCATCCCTCTATAGTATTTGCCTTTTTCATTTGTACGCCCCATGAACTGTTTTGCCATCAAACTTAGGCCAATTTAATCCTCTACTTAGTCGAAAAATGTGAAGCTTTGGGACCAAAATGTAAAAGCGATAAAAACATGATAGAAAGTTAGTTCGTAAAAGGGCTAAAACGAAGAACTGTCGTAATGCACAAAAATCACGACCGAATCACTTTCAAAAGTACAAATAGCAAAAGCGTGCTCCGAGGTGCACGTCTGAGGATGTTACTAAAATAAAGCCTCGATCAAATTACCGAAACAACATGAAGCGATTAACAAATTTAGTTTGCTCATGATTTCATGGTCTCATGTCGTCAAACAAGGGTCGGTCGGCACTGGCGCGGTGGTGGCTAGCTGTGGGGCCACCACCACGTGATGGCTCCCAAGCCCTGGCCTACCCGCCTCGAGGGACAGTTGCCCCTAACCTTCAAAGCCATGTTAGTGCCATACATGGTAAAAAATATTTAGAAAACGACATGTCAGATTTTGGCATACCACGTGAGTAGGTTTCCCTAAACGATCGTTGGAAGGACTCGATTACACCATATTCATAAACATTCAAGACTTGATTGCCAAAATTCAAGCGTTTAGAACTTGATTGGACATTGGCCAAACGTTTAGAACTTTGGGTGTAAGTTTTCCCTCAACTTAATTTTGCGAAAATTAGGTTTTATATGAATCAAACTTTACTTCGATTGTGTGCAATACTTTGAAGAAAACCCTTTCTTTATTGTATCCGTCCCACTTTTTCAGAAAACCAGATCCTCGAACCGGCAATTATGTCCCCATGGCGAGTCCATCTGTTAACGCAGTTCGATCAAAGATAGAATCTTGGGTCACTGCACCAGATGATCCGAATCAGTTTGATGCAAAATGATATGCATTATCCAAGATTTGAAAGCCGCAAAACGTGTCCCCACTGAAAGATGGAAAAGCAAATTGTTCCCTTAAAGAGCAGAGAGGAGTGTGGTCGCTCTTTCTATAAGAAGGCTTTTTTTACATTTGCACAGCTGTTTTCCTTTAACGGATGGCTGTCCTCTCAACGTCCTCCATCGAAATCATGGCATATCTGGTGTCAAATTCAACAATCGTCGAAGACATCACACAGTCTGCATCTGATAAGGTCTAAAAATATTATTCTTTCAGCCAGCATGACTTGACCAGTCATTCATGCATTCTTTGCGGGCTGTTAGAGGAATTATGTCTGCTTCCAATTCTGCCTGCAGTACATGATCACTTTTCATATGAGAGTTCAAAAAGAAATACAGTATTATTCCAATCTTATTCTGTCCGATGATATCTGATGCCATTGTAGGAAGCCCTCATCATCTTTTTCTCTGTTTTCTTGGGTTGGCGATCATCTGCAACCATTCGTGGTTTTTTCCGCGGTACGTACCTAAGTATTTCTACTAAAAGCCCCAACCCTCATGACGGATGGACACCATGACTACAATGGATATTTCACTAAAATTGCCAATCGAAGGGACCCCAGTTTCTGTGTCAAGACAAGAAATCGTACAATGGGTGAGACTGTCTTTTGGGTTCCTCAAAGTGAGAGAATCTTTGGCATCAAGGATAGACAAAACGCCATGCATGTAATTACAAAATATGTTCCACAACATAGATATCATTACAGTGGCTATTATTTGGCTCCTTCTGTCTTCTAAACAAACTCCCACATGGACATATATGTACGAGGAAACTCAGCTAAGGAAGCACCTCTCAAATTTTGAAAAAAAAAAAAAGAAGCTACACCAAGATCAACATTCAACAATGTCCAACAGATCATCAAAATCAGACTCCACAATCAAGTCAAAGCTATGGGAGCTAGACATCACATCCCCTTGATCTGACGACAGGGCCGAGATCTCCCCAGCCGATTCGAACACGGCATAGTAGTTGGACGATGTGGACCGGTTGTTGTTGCTGTTGCTGTTGCCGTCGTGGCAGCCGTGGCGGGGCGTCAGATCATCATCTCCAAGCAGCTTCTGCTCGTGTTTCACCGACGAGAAAGTCGAAGAAGAGAAGGGGTGGTTGTTGTCTTGCTTGGAAGTGAGGCTGGTGTTGAAACTGACGAGGATGGAGGAGTCCCCCGGGCTTGGTGAGTCCAGGATGAGCGGGGGGGATTTGAGGATGAGGCTCTCGCAAGTGTGGTGGCCTTGGTATATGGTCCTGTAAACGGTTGGGTCATCCTTTATCTTCTGGACCTGCTTGGTCGCTTGACACCCTTGGTCAATCTTGTGAGTGCACCTGAAGTAGTTCCTGCAAGTGCCCCAAAATACAGCTTTAATCATTTGTTTACAAACATGTATGAACATCAACACATCAATGAACACTTGATTGGAGATTTATGGGTTCAGATGCTTCATATCCAAAGAATAACCCCAAACAATTTGCATATGATGACAGACGATGAAAAGCTATCTAGTGTGTTCGTTTCGATTAGATTCTAAATTATGTGGGGTTATGGTAGAATGAAGTTAAAATTTAGTATATTTGAGAAAGAACTCAGTTGCCCTAATTTATAGCACGAGGTGGGTCGACGACCATCTAGTCATTTGTTTAATTGTTCAACATGAGAGAAGCATAAATATATTAGCCAATTGATGAAAATGGGTGAGTTTCTTACCTTGTAAAGATTCCCACATAATTTTTGTTTTAGACATCAAGCAATAATTGATATCTACCTACTTCATACAATATTCTTCTTCCATATATGAAAAATCAATGAAATGGATATACATCATTTTTGAAGTACCTTGGAAACTCCGAGTTGAGGATCGCTTTCTGGCCATATTTCCTCCATTGGTGCCCGTCGTCGATCAAATTATGGTCCAGTCTTGTCTGTGTATCCGAAGTCTTTCTGCAGATAAATGAATAATTTCCTATTCATGTTAGAACTATTTAGACCCATATACATAATTTAACTAATAACAAAATAGATAAATAAATGAAATGACAAAAAAAACTTTTTTTCTTGCAAGTTAGACAAATTCGTTATATTCCAATCATGATCTGTCAAGTTGTGTCAATCTATGAACAGCAAAACGATCTTTTCATGTCTTCCCTTCTTCCTAAGTTCTAAGAGATCTGCCCACTTTCATAGAAAAGCAAGAATTTCTCTGCCCTTAATTACCTTCTCTTGTAACATCCGCGGCGATCTCTGGGGACCGAGGTCTTGCTGCTCTCCTCGGAGTCCTCGGACTTGACGCAGGCCTTGACCGGGACCGGCGAGAACTTGTCGGGGTCAGGCTCGGCGCGGCTCAGCAGGGACAGGGTGTTGTCGAACGACTGGAGGACGTTGACGACCAGATCTTCGGCGGACACCGGGTGCCGCGCGCCGTCGTGGTCGCCGGCGCCGGCTCGAGAGAGGGCGTTGAAGAGATCCCGGAGCTTCTTCGCGGACTCCTGGCCGCGGAGGAGCTCCTCGACGGCGTGCTTGCAGCTGGAGGGGAGGTTCGCAGGCCAAGAGGGACGCTCCATTGATGAGAGGGGTCCTGTGCTTTGCTTTGGGATGAAGGAGTGAAAGTGCAGAAAGGAAGTGAGAGGCCCTTAAATCGAACTAGGCAAGGTAGAGAGAGAGAGAGAGAGAGAAAGAGAAGGGGGGAGGACAAAAGAGCTCGTTGTAATGTGCAAGAGGCAACGAAGATAAGAAAGAGGAAGCTTGGTGCGAAAATTCCGCGTCCTGTGGGATCTATCCATCCCCCCAAGCGCGGCGCGTGGGATATCATGATCCACGGCAAATTTCTATTCTCAAAAGGATTGTCTTATCTTTATCTTATCTTGTTATTGTTAGAGAAAATGACATAAATAGTCTCTGAATTTTGATCCGATGTGGAATATGGTCCATGAACTGTAACTCAATGTGTAATGTCATTCATGCACTTTTAGTTTATTCAATGTGATACATAAACTTTATGTTCTAATTAGTCATTGGATTATATGAAAATGTTCAATGTCATCCTTCTATTAATTTAAGTTCAGGAACAATATTAAACATTTTCATACAGTTCAGGGATTAGTTTGAACATATACAAAAAAGTTTAGGAACCATATTGAACAAAGTAAAAATTCAGGGACGACATTGAACTTTGTGCTAAAATTCAGTAACCACATTAAACAAATTAAAAGTTCATGAATCACATTGCATATTCGGCTAAAATTTATTAATCATTTTTGTCATTATCCCTTATTATTATTGTTGTTATTGTTGTTTTCATATATCGATGGGAGTGATGATTTCATCCGCTCATATGCCATATTATGCATGTGACTCTAAATTACAATCATGAAGATTAAAGCCTAAGGTGATCATCATTTTTTCGTATCTGTTATTCCTTTTTATCAATAGAAAAAGAGCAGAAAAATATAACTGATGGAGAAAAATCCTATGATAAAAAAATCATCGAGCTAGAAAAAATTGGTAGATATGAGTGTAATATATTAACATGTAAGATATATCTTTTATGTGACTGAATTGTGTGTTCCCAAAAGTCAATATAATTTGTTACCTGCATCTCAGGATTGTTCTTTATATCGTTGTGTTCAAGTGGTTATGCATATATTATTGGTCATTGTTTTAGCGGAGATTCTTATTTGAAAATGTGATGCTATTATTTTCTTCTAAAGCTAATTGGCCAAAACAAAATTTCTTGTAATGTAAAATTGGTTTTCTCACGTTTAATTATTCTCATTACAGGGGAAGTACTTATTGACAAGTTGTCTTGTCTTAGAACAACGTAGATTCTTATCATTGAACATGTGAGCATCATAAAATGGCAAATAGAGAGATGGACTAACTTCAAATAATAAAAAAATATCGTTCATTTATTACTGTGGGTCTCAAGTATTTTCAGGTTAACTGCACTAGAAGTCTTAAAATTTATCACGAAAATGCAATTGAGTCACAAAACTTACAAAAGTGCAATTAAGTCCTAAAATTTGTCAAATCGATGCAATCGAGTCCTTTTGTTAACTCCGTCCAACTTGGGTAACGGAAAATACTGACGTAGCTTTTTTTAATATTTTCTCTCTCCCACGCAACGATGACACTGCTAACACATGAAATATAAAGTTAAAACGACGTCGTTTTAGTCCAAATCTAATTTTTAATACAGCTTTATTTAAATCAAATTAAAAAATAAAGCTATATTTAAAATAAAATAAAAAGGCAAAACGGCAACGGCCTGCAAGGTCCTCTTCGCTATCGCCCCACCATCTCCAGAAAGGACCGGTAATGGTGGGGGATGGGCCGGCCAGTGATCCGCGAGGGTTGCTAGGTCTTGACCAATGGCTGGCGACCCTCATCGTAGCCAACCCCAGCCATTGGTAGCCTTCAGCTAGATCTGGGCGAGGGTCGGCAACCCTCGCTCGATCTGGGGGAGGCCCGCAACCCTCGTCCACGGCTAGATCTGGACGAGGGCCAACGACCCTTGCCGACTGGCCGGCCCATCCCCCTCCGTAGCCGGACCTTTCCACCGATGCTGGGGCGGCGGCAGAGAGGGCGTCCGTTTTGCCTTCTTCCTTTTTTTTATTTAGCATATTTTTTTATTTAACTTAAATAAGATTTGTATTAAAAAAGTAAATTTGGATCAAAATGACATCGTTTTAGTTTTATGTTTCATGTTTTAACTAAATCATCGTCATGTAGAAGAGAGAAAATTTTTAAAAAAGCCACATCAGCATTTTCCATTACCTAAGTTGGAAGAAGTTAACTAAAGGACTCAATTGCATCAATTTGGCAAGTTTTATGACTTGATTGCAATTTTTATAAGTTTTAGGACTTAATTACACTTTCGTAACAAGTTTTAGGATTTCTAATGCACTTATCCCAATTTAAGCCGAGGATGACATGATTCTCCTGTCACATTAGCCCTCTCGAAAAACTATTTTGTCTATTAGTCGTATAGCTGGTGTGGTGTAATAAAAGTGGATGGTTACTCACTAAGTGGGCCTTATGTATATTGAAGGGCAATCGAGGAAAAATAAAAAGTAAAACAAATGGCACTTTTGGCTTAATATCTAAGTCACATGAGTGTCATGTCATGTCAACAACATATTTAGGCAGATTTTTAATGGTCCTCATTAACGAAATTTTGACGGAGGTAAATATGTTACACAAATATAAGTTTAGAGTTTTTGGTGTCGTAGAAAAAAAGTTTAGAGTAGATGCTTCACAGTGAATATAAATTGAGGTTTTTGGTGACTTTTGCTAGGGGTGAGCATGGACCAGGTGGGCAGTTCCCACCCTGGAATCGAGAATCGCCTACTAAGGATCAGTTCTAAAAAATTGGAATCGGAAACCATCCATTGGTTCTATGGACCCACCCGGGAGCCGAACGCCGGTCCAGTCCGATTCCCAAGTGGGTCCATGAAACCGCTTCCACCAAGCTTCCTGGACAAATAAAAAAAAATGGGTCCCCACGGCTTATGGAAGAAAGCGTCTTGATGGATTGTGTCGGACTTGAGTGAGAGGTAAACAGGGTTTGAAGGCTGAAAGCATGTTTACGCCTTTTGTTGGTTGCGATTGCGATGTTTCTTGCAACTCCAAGGAGAGGGCAACGGCTGGATAAGGGGAATGGCTAGGCATTGGTGGGGGATTTGCTCCGAAGTGGCTGGAACCGAGATAATATTTGCCCGAGCAAGGAAGAATCAGGATATTGTAGAGACGGTTGTTTTGTTTCTTCAACTTTCACTTTCACTAAAGATGAATCGAATTTATATATAGTGTTAGCCCGCCGGAGACTGTTAGGTGGGGGTGCCGCGCACGCGCGCTGTGGGGGGGCGAGTGGGGGCTGGGCTCGGTCACGCCCATTACGAACAGCGTGTGATCTCACGGCCCATACGTCACGGCCCGTGCGTCATCATCATCATCATCGCCTCCCCCCGGTTCGCATCCGGAACCGCGTAGCGCTCTTTCACACGTTATTTCCTTAAACAAATCCAAGTTGGGCGGAAAACCCCAGGCTTGTTTTTTCCCGAAAAATTTCACATCTCGGGCGGACGATTTCGCGCTCGTGATTTGACGACAATACCCCCCCCCCCCTTCCCGGAACCCTTTTGTCGCTAGAGGACAAAACCAGAGTTGTTGTTGTTAAGGAAAAACCCTGCCCCGTTCACACGAAGAATTATTCCATTTTTCCTTTTCAATTTTCGGGCCAATCGAATAATTCCCACGCGTGTCCTCATCCGATGATGGGTCCGCAAGTTTTCCGGATCTCGGATTTAAGAATACTGGCGATTCTGTTCACATCTGAGCAACGAGGGGAGTACCTTTTTATTTGTGATTCTCGTATTAATTGCTTTGAATTTCGTAATACTGTAGGAAGAAATTCATGCGCATATCGACGCGTCGGCATTTGATTTCCGTGAAAGTTTCCGGGGGGGTTTCGGATTGAAGAGGGGTCGGAGGGTGCGAGCCCTCAAGATTCGGATGAAGTAGAATTAAAAAGTGAAATTGGGAGTGCCAAATGGTTTGGTTTGCTTATTAAATCGTTCGACATATCAATGAGCTCGCAGTTCGAGTCCACTCGTACAGACACCCATTTAAATTATGTAAGGTCGTCTGGCACGTCTAGCATTATTCTTATCGAAATCGCGTTATTTCCATTTTTTTTTAAAACGACAAAATTTTAATGAAAATTACCTTTCTTTGGTCCTGGTAGGTACATGTGGGTTGCTTTCGGATTTATCCCCCTATAGTATATGCCTTTTTCATTTGTGCGCCCCACGAGCCGTTTTGCCATCAAACTTAGGCCAATTTAATCTTCTACTTAGTGGAAAAATGTGAAGCTTTGGGACTAAAACGTAAAGGCGACAAGCCAACATGATAGAAAGTTCGTTTGTAAAAAGGGCTAAAACGAAGATTTGTCGTAATGCACAAAAATCACGATTAAATCACTTTCAAAAGTACAAATAGCAAAAGCGTGCTCCGAGGGGCACGTCTGAGGGTGTTACTGAAATAAAGCCTTGATCAAATTACCAAAACAGCATGAAGCGATTAACAAATTTAGTTTTATCATGATTTCATGGTCAAGCTTTAGGAAGGAATTGGGTTTGCCTAAACACGTGTTAATAGGTATTGATTCAAACTTCCCCTTATGATCTTTCGTAAAAATATATAGGATTTTTGCAGGGAAAAGCACTAGAAAAGTCCTAAACCTATTACATTTGTGCCAATTTAATCCTAAACATTTTTGCGGCACCAATTTAGTCCTAAACATTTTGACGAAGTGCCAATTCACGCTGACTGACTTTGGCCATGTATATGCCGACTGACTTGCGTGGCACCATTGACGTTGATGTGGATAATTTTTTATAATATTTTAATATTGTTGTTTATCTTTTTTCCTTCCCTTTCTTCTTCCTTCAGCTAGTCGTTGGACCTTAGCAATCGGCCAGAGGCCAGGGCCGACAAGGTCGACCTCGCCAGATGGCCGCGAGGGCAACCTCGCGGTGGCCTGGCGATGTTTGTCCTCACCGGATCTGGCGAGGGTCCCTCGCCCTCACTAGTGGATGCGAGGTTGCGGCCTCGACCTCGCCGGATTTGGTGAGGTCGGGCCTCGCCCATGGCTGGCGAGGCTCGACCCTCACTAGATCTAGAGAGGCCTT